TAGGTATTTGTTGCTGTGCCTGCATTTAGACAATAGCTCGGCACAAACCACAAATACACTTTTAACTCCCCCAAACACAGAAACAGCACCGTACTCTCCAAACACGTATGGAAATTAAAAGATAGCAACACACCCTACAACATTAAATGGTCTATCATCGACAGAGCATTGGCTTACTCCCCAAAAACAAAACGCTGCAACCTGTGCATAACCGAGAAACTCCACATAATATATTCAGACAAACGGTCAACACTAAACAAAAGAACCGAGCTATTGTTCTACAAGTTTTCATTTTCAATATTTTACTAGCAACGTATAGTGCTCGATACACGTGATAATGCAGAGCGTAAATATTGATTGATATTGATCATATATATATATATACATATATATATATATATATATATATACATATATATACACACATCTATACATATATACACATATATATACACATAAGCATATATACATATATACATATACATATATATACATATATTTATATATACATATACTTATATATACACACATACATATCTATACAGACATATATACATACATATATACATATCTATACAGACATATATATATACATATATACATACCTCTTATACACATCTAGATGTGTATAAGAGACAGGTATATAGTATTAGCAATATACCATCGCTATTTCACAGTAACCAAAACATACATATACACACACACACACACATATATATATATATATATATATATATATAATTATAGGCATATATGTAGTATGTCGGTTATAGTGCATTATAACAAGGTCTCTACTATGCTCTTCACACGGTCACTGGATGATAGATCAAACTCAATGCATGCACAGGCTCCGTGGGAGTATTCCATCATGACTAGTTTCGTTAGCAATTCATATTCCAACCTACCAGGTACCCACTTATAATCACGGATGAGAGAGATATAGGGCCTATTTATATATATATATATATAGGCCTATATATATTCCATTTGAGGGATCGATATTCATTCATATGAAGTTACCGTTATCTATGTTACTGCAAACATCCTAATCAAAGATTAAAATGTTCAAGTAGAAAGAATCCGTGTTTTGACACTGTTTGTTTGATATCTATATAATAAAATCTATACGTTATCGGGTGTACAAGAGGTGACGTTTGAGCTAGGTCAGATAAAAGACAAACCCTTTCAGCCTCATGTAAAATTTCAGCATACTAGTTTCAGATATGGCTGAGAAGAAATATGAAGGGGGTGGGGGAGGGATGGTGGATATTCACGTAAACGACACGAACCGATATAATACATTGTATTATGCCTTTCGTTTGGGTGTTATGATTCAGCCCGTGAAAAGGCATTGTGTAGTAATGAATATAATACCAACCTCACTATGCCATGGTGAGGTGAATGAAAGGACAGTTGGAACATAAAATTTAGTTTCCATACAATCGCTACAACCCTATCGCCGACAGCTTTTGGTGATGCTGATTGGTCGGTTGAATCAGGGAGCCTTTCCCGATTGCGTTGGGGACTGCGCATGCTACGCAGTAAAACAATTGCACTGAAAACACTGTAGCGAAAGTGTAGCGATTTTATTGAAACCAGGCTTAACCCGACGGTCGTATAATAACTCTTTAGTTGCCTCTGTTTATCAGACAATATGCATAGGGAGGGGAGGGGCGGGGTGTCAGTAGGCTTAAGGGCGAATCCAGATCTTTCATGCAGGGGAAGGAGGAAAGCGCCTCTTTCGCCATCCCTGGATCCGCTACTGAGGCTGCTACAGCCTATTCATCCATCGGTTTGGAAACATTGCTTGTCCTTTAATCTTGTTTTATTTAGTCGCTGGTATGCTTACTAACAGTTTACCCTACTCACACATCGTACAAAGGCCTACCAGTAGATGATGATTGACAGTTGCCAAACATTTCAGAGAAGTGGACCTTTCTGCACGAAAGCTCCTGTAGTGTGCATAAAGTTCCTGGCCTATCCATTTCATTTTACTATAATATGTGCAGACTATAGTAATACGGACACTCAACACGTTAAAAAAACAGGTGCCAAACTCGTGAAATTGTGAAAATTGTCTCAAACTCGTGAAAGTTTTTCATATAGGCCTATAGTTAATTCATGCGTAAGCCCGTACGATACCATAATGGATTAAGATTTCTATGCGAGTCTATGTATAAGAACAGAACACGAATTTATACCATTTTTACACATCTTACATAACCATGTTAATCAACGGTTAACTTGATCCGTCGTAGTAAATATTAGGGTTTTTATGTAACTTACTTAAAACCTGCTTACGTACTTGCTCAATGCTTTCCGTTATGTTCCCTTTTATATTTACTTAAACCATTAAACTCTTGCCAATACATTAACATGTGAATTACAATAATTTGTATTTATGTGTTAACTGCTAGAGCACACAATTAAGCCGGAAGTTCAATAAATTGAGGTGAGAATAATTTTTATGATTTACCTAATACATAGACAGCTTGCATACAATAGTTAGTTCTGTAAGCTGAAGAAGACCAGAGGACTGGTAGAAAATTCCTTTGAAAATAAATAAGTGTTCTATAGTAGTCCACATGACTTTATGCTATATATATATATATATATATATATATATATATATATATATACTGTGTATATATAATATATATACATGTATAGGCCTATATACATATTTATGTGTGGCCTATATAAATTATATAATAATTATTATAAATACAGTACGGTATATATTTATAAAATATATATAGACCTACATATATTTTTATATTACTATTAACAATACATATTTATAGGCCTAAATATTGTGTACATTAGGCATACATAACCTAATAAGACATCTTTGAATCTATGTTCCGATTTAAGTATTCTTTCATTAAAAATATAAAATAGGCTTAATAATTTAAGGATGTGACCATGAGCATAATTTCATATACATGTTTTGTATGTGTTGTTAGTCTACAGATTCGATTAAAGTTGTGTTGTATTTCCTTATCCAGTCTTCTACTATAAAAAAGTTTTTATAATAGCTTTGTATTCTTTCTTTTGCTGAGACAACCATCACCATTGGAATGTTTATCTAGGCTCTTAGTCCGGTGAAGTGGAGACACATAATTTATCTTGTATTTTAATAGTCTAGTTGAAGGGTCACACAATACCTAAAAATAAAGTGCACTAATGTTTACATACGCCCTTGTTTTCTATTGCGTCCTGGGTTTACATAAGGGCATAGCAACAGTCTCATATTCATACGAAGTGGAGAGCAAACATGCGGAGCAGGGAGGAAGTAGCGTAGTCTGAGTAAACCGTCTTAATTTAGGAGGTACAGTGTACCCTTCTTCCTATCCACTCACTCCTGAAGATTGCTATTGCATGAAACAGCTGTAGAGTAAATTCACGCTTGACATAACCTTTCTATTATTATTATTACTGTATTATTAATGTATATATGTATATGTATATATATACATATATATATATATATCATGTATATATATAAACATATATATATACATGTATATATATATTTGGAATTAAAACATGCATAAATACAATATTTAAGTAAAATATTAATTCTCTATGAAAAACGAACAAGTGGATTAATCAATTAAAAAAATAAAATCAATCAATCATTAATCCAATATATTGTACCGTAATAGTTTATATACACAGCATACTACATCAAGAATTCAAGATCATAGCGACTTAACACAATAATTATCAGCTTATAAATAGACCCGGGGTGGCAAACAAGGGCGCCACAACATAATGAACTTGGAGAAATAGACATTGATAATATAATACACTTTGATTCCGACATTTTAGACGTTGGTCACAACTTTATGTAGATCTAAATAGCATTTTAACCGAGTCAACAATTCTTGAATATTTGCAAAACAAAATTACAAAACTTTCACCACACACTTTTCAAAAAAAAAAAAAAAAAAAAAAAAAAAAATGTACAAGAATATACTTATAATAAGCAATAATAAGTATTCAATATAAGTATTCAATAAGATAATTAATTATATAGCAAGTGAGCAATTTTACTTATGGACAATAAAAGTTAATCTGTATGTGTATAATATTTTAATGTGTAGTACATTATGGCACCTTATATTATACAATCAGTTCGATGTATAGTTTGTAGAAAACCTATAAAACACATTTTATACCCATAATATAAGTATAAGTACATAATATTCAAACTTGCTATATTTCTGTACAAAATGAATATTTTGGACGACGTTTGTTTATTTGTGGGTGAATTTTTAGCACATGCCCGTCGGAAACTGTTGAATAATTTATTCCTAAATGTAAATTTCAACCAGCAGATTGTCCCTCCCCGTTATGCTCATTAAACACCCTTCATTTCGGTTGCACTAGCTCGAGGAAGTTAATTTTTCAACCGAGAACAGCCGAGTAGACTTTCGGCTGATTTGCAAGCCAAATTTTGACCATATTTGGTCATTTCCGTAAACGTAAGCGTTCGTGCTCTCGGATTACCGACAGCCTTGTTTACACACAAGGCGTGCCAGACGATGACGTAAATTAATATATGTGAATGAGATCGGAAGTTATTATCATAAGCCTTTTGATTGGACCAACACAAGAAATTCCGGACGTGCCAGCTATCGGATGAATCGGACGATTACAATGTTTACTACGAACACATACATTTTTACAAAATCTAACAACAGTCTTCAAAAAACAAAATAATAATATATTTAACACATTTAAAAGTAAAACTATACTAAAATTCATATTAGTGTTACTCGATTTTAATTTAACTAACATGTTCTAAGAAAAATAGTAATTTTGTTAAAAACGAATGACCCTTACCCAAAATGGTTTCGCGCTATTGCTTTTCTGTGATTGGCTGAATTACCATTGACGCAAATGAACTTACGTCACGGCAATATTCCAAATATGGCATTGATTTTTGTCAATGAACGCCAGCCTTCTATTCTGTTTTTTAATAAAAATATCGACAGGAGCCGAGAAGCAACATTCGAAATTCGGTAGACCTCGGGTTCGGAAGATCTTCGGAAACAATCGTGAGAAGACTAAACTTCGGATTTAATGTATAAAATATTTTCTACGAAATAAATATTGTTTGGAGGACGAAAGCCTGCCCACCTGCTTTACTGCCCACGTATGACTTGGAGGAATACCACAACTCAAGACATGAGGAAAGATAGTGAAGCTCAGGGACAATTGTCTTCAGTTGATTATTATCTGCCGTTACACAACCAAGGAGAATACCTGCCAGTCCCAAAATTCTTAACGATAACAGCGGAGGACATTAATACGTTAGCTACCTCTATGGCTCAAGCATCGGACTTATTTCCAAATGATACTGTAGATTTGCATTCACTCACATGTAAGTACACACTTATTTAAATGCTTTTGAATTTTATTTTACATCTTTAAACGCATTTGACTTACGACTCTAGTTCAACATAGAAACATTTATTCAGTAAACATTATATAGGCCTATTGTCATAAATAGATCCAGTCACCATCGCTTTACCCTTATTATTGACTGTACGTTGACAGGGTCCTGGCTAGACAAGGCGTTTTTACAAGCCGAGGGTGGTTATTTATCGTCGTTTCGGAAAATCATTCTACGATAATGTGTTTGTGTGATTGACTAGATTCTTTTAATGCATGCTTTAAAACTCAATCATGAATTCTATTAACATACCTCAATCGTAAATCCAACTCGATATAATCCATAAATTAAATGATTTTAAGCAATGTTTTCGGCTGCAAATACAACAAGCCTCTCTCGCTAAGCAAGATCTCGCTAGTCTGTTCTGTCTACGCAAGTCTGCACTTCCGTGTCAACATAGTAATTTGTCGTCATCAAAGAGAGTTGGCTATAGAGGGCAGTATTTACATTTTTTTTGTAATCGCCGCCGGTCGTCTGCCACCACTTTCCACATGAATGAAAACCTCAAAAAGTATGAAAATTTGCTTGGAAGTCACTCTTACAATCACTCCAAATATTTAGGTCCACTTGATTAATTGGTACTTACATATTTTTCCCAATTGTATATAATAATTTCAATGCCGAATGACCGGGAAGATTTGCCGCCCACGCAAAAGCTTACAATTCTTAATAGCACTGTCCCAAGTTCAATACGCATAATAGTGTTCAGACCTTACCGAGTGTGTTACATTGATTCGCCCACATGTCGGCTGTATAGCATACGCTTTCAATGGAATATATGAAGCAAAGTTCGCGGTCTACTAAATCTATGAGTGCGTATATTTTTATAAATTTATCTTTATCTCTTGATAGGAATATTATATGTGTTATATTTTATTATCTTATATTAAATATTTGGTTTTCTTATATCTTGCAGCGATCGACACTGACTTCTCCGAATTCAAACCACAAGTGTCATTATCTGAATGTTATGTTCCTGATCATAACATGAACACACCGTCCATTTCGGATGCCCCACCATCTATTCAGTACAGAGGAATCATTGCAACAGCACCAATCACATCTTCTTGTGAGGATAGTTTACCAAGTTGGATCCCAGGAACAAATACCCTCACACCGACAGCTATCGGCAGCATCATTACAAGCTCAAATAGCTTGATTAATGAACAGGACGGGGCTAGTATCCACGTTAGTATGCCAGATAGTCAACCTGTAAACGTGAGCCCATCACACTCCTCAACATATGGCGTCCAGTCACCTCAAGGTTTGGACCTCCCCTTCACATCACCCTACCAACAACAAGTTCCAGAAAACACAGCGAGTTTTGATAGCTTCGAACAGATCACGTTCCCAACCAGTGTTGCGCAGGTCGCCTCTAGTTGTGAGCTAAGTTACCCAGCATCTGTCCACAGTGGATTGAAATACAGCTGGCCCCAGCCACCGACGGAAAATATCCCGTTTTTACCACACCAATCATTGTCACAACATAATAATCGTATGAACAAATCACAACTTAACGTGCAACCTTCAGTCACTCACCACAGCAACACACCCAGACCGATCAACGAAATAGCGCTCGGACAACATTCTATGCATTCTAGTACTGTGTCATCGCCAGATCTCCTCGCCACCACTCGTGAAATTTACAAGAACTGCCCAGCACCGGGCAAAATGACCACCATGCCTAAACCTCGCAAATACCCAAACAGACCATGTAAAACACCACCACACGAGCGCCCATATCCCTGTCCTATGGAGGGATGCGATCGACGATTCTCTCGTAGTGACGAGTTGACCAGGCATATTCGCATTCACACTGGTCAGAAACCATTCCAGTGCCGAATTTGCATGCGAAACTTCAGTCGAAGTGACCATCTTACAACTCACATCCGTACTCATACAGGGGAGAAGCCGTTTTCTTGCGAAACATGCGGAAGAAAATTTGCCCGTAGTGATGAACGAAAGCGACACAGCAAAATCCATCTACGCCAGAAGGTGAAGAAGGAAAGCGAATTGTTGAAAACATCTTGCAGTTTCCAACATATCTCAACTGCTGTTACAACATCATCTTAAATACTGGGATATATTCATACATGAAATAGGAAGCTGTTATTATAATATGTGTAATTTTGGAAATATACTCTGCTACAGTGTTTTATCGTGTATATTATTATCAAAATGAAATTATGTGTTTTTGCTATTTGTTCCAAGTGGATACATTTGTAATGGAATCCACTTGTGTTGGACTTGTGCCTAGGCCTTCTTGATTGAACGCCTCAAAACGAATATCGGTATGTTTATATACCAGTGGACTATAGCCTAAAGCTAGGCTTATATTGACAATGTCCTAGTATATCTAGGCCCCCTACTTTGAGTAGGTTGTGAAAGCTTCAGAACACCATACTGGTGATTCTGTATAATTGGACTTAGACTTGGCTTTTGCCAGTCAAATAAGCATCGCTAATAATTTAAAATATATGGCTGCAATTACTGCAACTGACGCTTACTTTTTGGTAACATAATATATATTATAGGTATCTTTGCTAGCTTCCTTTTCTTACCACTTGACCATGTTATATTTACCTTGAAACAAAATTTGGTTCCCATTTCACTTACTCTAACCCTTGGACCGTCTGGTCGTCTGCACGAACCTCATAGGCCTAGGTCTGGAGGAAACCTCCTAACCGAAGCTTTCGATAGCGTTTGTTGCGGGGGCTTGGACGGCCAATCTGTTTTTCAATACTAAGTCAAAATTCTATTCATACGAATGTGTGGGCAGGCCCATTTAACATAACAGTATTGAATTGCTAACAAACTCTTGTTTTGATGTTTCTGAACTTAAATTCTAAATATTTTTAATAAGAGAAATGTTTTTACAATTATAAGAAATAACTGAAAATCGTCAATTCATAATCATGTTAATCATTAAATGAGGTATTTTTTATATTGCTTGTTCAATCATATGCAGATAAACAACATAATTTATTAATATGATTTATTAAGTTATCAAATCCATCATTGAGCCTAATACATAGTATGATTTTGTTAAGACAAAAATAAAAAATAAATAAAACACCGAAATAGTTAATTGGTATGAATTTTCAGATATGCATAATATCATTCATAATAATGTATGTTGAGGTTAATCAATATTAGATATGGTTCGTGATTTGATATAAAAGTACTTGAAAGAAATTGTTGATATTGATAATTGATAAAAAAAAAATAATGACAAGATCATAATATGTATTGTGATGATGCAAAATTTTCATGTTAACTGAAATGCTTGGAATGTTTTGGCCAATTTCTTCATAATCAACCAATGGATAACCTATCCTATGTTTTATTTCAATTTTATTCTTACAGTTTTCTAAACTGTTAAATTCTTCTGCTACTGTATGGAGTCGTATAAAGTTAGGTAGGCCTGCCCTATTGCAAAGGGCTAGCCTCACTCCGATTCTATCTAGTTTTTAGTGTCACACTAACAGTGTAGGCCTAAACTCCCTGGTCGCGCACCTTTTGCACAAGGCAGCCACGTAACCAGGGAGGCTAGAATATTGCTGCTTTTAACCATAAGTCTTGTCGATGCATTCGGCTCGATAATAAAATATTTTAAAATGAAAAATAGATATACTCTGTTTGTCGTTTTATCGGGTCGTTCAGTGGTATGTAAGATTTTGTCAAGAGACTGTGAGATTTGTCTACAATGAACGAGAAGATTGACTTTCAAAAGAGCATGTTTTGCTGATTGGTTTAGAAAGCACTTTTGACATTTCAATCACAATTTGGATACATTAATTACACACAGTTACATAACCAGACAGTTTCTCGTTTCAATTAAACAATTGATATTCTCATAATTCATTCAAATTTATTAACTTAAATTAAAAAAGATACAATTTAAAAAATTAAATAACTTGTTTGGAAAAGATACGCTACGTTACAGCACGATACAATATTACAGAATAAATATGATATTAAACTGACTACATACTCATAGACTAACGTTATATAGGCCTATATCATACAATACAAATAGCTACAAACGTATCAGAAAACTTTAAAGGATCTATATTATATTTGGGGCTTAAATCTTGATACATTTGCTTTCAGTAAATGTACATGATAAATACTTATATTATATACCGGTATATCTCTATAATAAGCACCATGGAATTATGATAATCATCGATCACCTTATATCCAATAGGCATGTTTATAGACATGTGTCCGAAGTGAGATAATTTAAAATGTACAAAAATGAAGCATCGATGGTAATTATGATAATGTCTGTGTTGACAATTAATTTGACACAAAAAGTGTAAATATATTTCATCAAGATCTTCACTTAGCTATTCATTTACAACCCCACTGCCTACGAGTTTGCGTGGGACTATCCAAAAGCTGTCTCTTATACACATCTAGATGTGTATAAGAGACAGTGGCTATAGAGGGCAGCACACTTGCATGCACATCTCAGTTTATATAATTCAGAACTATAATAACAATCGGCCTCTATATTTGTTTGACAGCACCAGGACTACTTCTTCCAGGGCTTTTTTTTTATGTTATGTCTGAATTGCTCTGACTCATCATGCTACGGCCACGACTGTCGGCGACGATACTGTCTCGCTGTTACTGGTGAACACGTATACCGATTAGTTGCGCGTCCGTCGGTGACAGTCTGATAGCTGTCTCTTATACACATCTAGTTAGAGTTCGAATTATTACTTATTAGATCACAGTGGATTGCGATCTTTATCTTTGAATATACATACTTACCTGAGGACATGGTTACGAATATTCCTTGGGTCTATAGCCTTTTCGATCAGTTTAATCCTCGTTAGGTTTGACGTAAATGCAACATACAAAATATGATACTATATAACAGGTTAATATGCATTAGGAATTCCCCTCGTATAAAATGGAAATATCTTATAATAACAATGGTCATTTAAAAGTAATTAATAGTAGGATAACAAAAATAAGAATCTATAATGTTTGACAAAAATGAATAAGATCAAAATATTTAAAGACGGATGTCAAAATGCTATGGTGTTAGGCGATAGTCAAAAAGAACTAGATGGTAAGAAAATTTATACCGGTAGATTGTATTTAAAAAAAAAAATAACTGTAATTGCTACCATCTTATTTCTTTCTGTTTCAAAAAGTTTAAAATAAAAAATAAAAAAAAACAACATTGATTTCTCCCGCATTTGTTTCAGCTTAAATGCATGTGTGCTGTGTTTAGACCCCCATCCTCCATGCAATCATAATGTATACTTACCCACTTTCCATTGTCTCTTTTGTGTGGGCTCAAGACACAGGGAGATCATCTTAATATTTATCATAATTTTTCTACAATGAAAACTCTCTAAATACAAGAGAGTGAAGAAGGAGTGAAATAGTGCCTACAGTAATCACTCCAATAGAGTAAAATAGATAGAGTGAAAAAAGTAAAATTTTACTCTATTCAGCGTGAATCTTACTAATTTTTGTACACAATTGCAAGAAAAATATTCACTCATTAAAGAGTGAATTTTCACTCGAGATATTGGGGTGATCTCTGTGGCGCTGTTTTAGTGTGAAGTTAAGCTGCTTGCCAAACAGGCAAATAATAGTAATGACAAATTCATTATCTCTTTAAAAAAAAAAAACAACTTGACTGTAGGGTATGTTCATATTTAGAAAAGCCCATAAACAGTTAGAAACAGTTAGCATAATAACATTAACTTTGGTATGGAGGAGCGTTGTCCAAAAGTTCTGGTTCAATTCAATCAAGTAACTAGATGCATCTGCGACAATGGAAAATATTAAGATGGATAAAACAAAGTGGCATAGTTGCCGTAATTTTTAATGATAATTAAAATTACTTTCATATTATTACATAAGCCTATATATGTATATAGGCCATATGTATATGTATGTATGTATATATAAAGTTAGCCTATATAATTATGAATGTTCTTTATAACCACGTTGTTTTCATACAGAGACATAAGTGATAGAATTGATCATCAATACGACTATTTTTGTCTCTTATGTTTCAGTGTTAAACAGTGTTTTAATATTCTACAATAATATTATTTGATATTCATTTCCGCAATTCCACTAATTTATTTGAGTAAATAATTCGCAGGTTAGAGATCTGTGAAATCCAAACGTTGAATAATTACAACTTTTATGACTTGTCAATCGACGGGGCAAATGAATAATTTGAGCAACCTACGTATAGTTATTCAATGTCAATGACCAGTTCTTTTAAAACCTATTGCCGTATCACGACGGAGTGCTGTGAACGCCCGTGTTTTGGAATTTTCACCGCATGTGTCTGGACACAATTCTGAATAATTTCATAAAATGAACACGAACTACTTAACGTTCATATGTTTATCCGGTAATGTATTTATACGCCTAATTCAGTTGCTAGTACGATTACACAATGTAACCGTGTATCTGTAGTAAAAGTTCCCCAAGATTCAATTTGTGGTAATAAGCCTAATTAATGTTCGAATTAGATAAAAAACAATATGTATTAAACGAGACTTTCCAGGCATTCAAACCGACCTTAAGCTCATCGATACTCCGTAGAATTTCATTAATTCCAAAGTTATTCAAAATTTATAATATAAATTGTATGGATTATGATATTCTAATTTCGGTTATACGCCCATAAAATCCCTAAATTATTCAAGCTTCTACTTCGCTCCCAGGATTCCCCAGGGCCCCTCAGCCCTAAAAGTGGAGGTGTCATTGGAGGGCAGGGAGCACATAATACAGTCGGTCGTCGGCCGACGTGATTACGTAGGGAATCCAACTCTACGACGCGCGCGCTGCCGATCGTATGGCTTTTCGCCACCTATAGCCATCGACAATCAGTTGACAGCGATGCGTCATCTAGTGCGCACCGACAGCGAAGTTGGATTCGTCGGCCAACGGTCGTACGACGCAGTGTTTTCCCAGCTAGACGGACACACACTGCGCCCGACGGTCGACGCAAATCCATAAATAACGTAAAGCGACAAAGCCATTGACGATCGGTAGACGACGTCACGTCGTCAAGCGCTCAAAGAGAGCACGATCAACTTACGAGGCAGTGTCTGCACGTAGGCTCTGGTCGGACACGGAAGGCCTCCCTTTCATCAGATTTCCCCGTCGGACAAATCCTGGCCCGTCGCTAGGCAGTTTCCATTTAACATTTGCAACTTGTTTTGTTTTCAATGCACTGCTACAAATCCTGACTAATCCGTGTTGTGAATAGGAGGGGTAAATCAGTTATATTTGACAATCAAATTGCAAAAGTCCCTTAGGAGGATAACATAAATGATATCCGAGGCTCTAGCTTTTTCAACCCCCACCCACCCCCACCATAGTATTTCTGCACACTTTCTTATATGATCTGACCATGCTTGCCCAATAGCTGTAACTTGTTTACCATCCAGACCTTGATAGCATTCAATTTCAAACTGATATCAAATATATAACAGATAAAATAGTTCCGGTTTTGATAATTTTTTACAAGATATCCTGACATGATAGTAACTTTGGTATGAAGAAACACTTCCACCGGTGATAATAAAATACGATAATAATAATAATAATAATAATAATAATAATAATAATAATAATAATAATAATAATAATAATAATAATAATAATAATAATAATAATAATATAATTCAGAACTATAATAACAATCGGCCTCTATATTTGTTTGACAGCACCAGGACTACTTCTTCCAGGGCTTTTTTTTTATGTTATGTCTGAATTGCTCTGACTCATCATGCTACGGCCACGACTGTCGGCGACGATACTGTCTCGCTGTTACTGGTGAACACGTATACCGATTAGTTGCGCGTCCGTCGGTGACAGTCTGATAGGATCGTCTTTGAAAACGGCGATCCGTCGGTCGACACCCCGTTTTGCTACCTGGCGCAAGCATGGAGGTATTATTTTATTGGGTAGGTCTACATACAGTTATAACTTTAATTACGATAGGTCACAGTTAGTATGTCCACATTCGATACATATTACTAGGCCTAGTTAGTCGATATGGAAATGTTGCACTTACTTGACGTGCGCATTCCGTATTTACGTCTTTATCTCATGCTAAAGTTCGGATGAGCTCTTCGGGTCACTGCCAACCATAACTTAGTTAAGGAGAAGGAGTTTATTTAGCCAAATACTATTTCGATATTTATTTTAAACTTATTTTACATTGTGATGCACAAAGGTCAAGACAATATGCGCCTTATACTCCACCATTATCAGGCGCGGATCCAGACCTTCGCACCATTCGTCATGGCGAAAATCAGGGTGAGAAAAAAAAAAAAATGTTGACCAATTTTCCAACAATCATACTTGACACTCTTTGAACTTATTGAATTATACAAATTAACCAATTTAAGTTGGTATGATTTCGATGCCGTATACCTTATATTTTGTCAACAAAGTAAGTGTAGCCATTGTAATTCTAGGCCAACACTAAAATTACACTGTGTTTTTAGCATTGTTTTAAGGTAATAACCAATCAGATATTCACATGAACAGCGAAACGAATGAAAATATTTTTGGCTTAATTATTGTTTCAACATTATCTTCATTGTAGTCTCAAGAATCTGTTCGTTTA